CACAGCATCTACAAGATGAAATACATCACATTATTAAAGCTAGCTGGCAGGGCAAGATTACCGACTGGGCTCCAGGGCCCTAGACTTACATGGACCCCAAATGGCCAGACATATCGGTTTCATATCTGAATCTAGTAGACACCAATTTGTAACGAAGAGCTCCAATCACAAGGTGCCAACGGAAGAAAACAGGGGCCCCTGAACATCCATTGTTGTTTCATGATCACATCAGGTGGCCCTTTTAAACTACAAACCATCAACCAACCATCATGAGCTTGACGGTCCTCTGTGAACTTCAAGAACAACTTTTACAACGCGTTTACGGCACGCTTCACAATGTACTAAGGTTTACATCTAATGTGAACTTATGAACCTGCTTTTGACAATTGGCAAGTAGTGATGGTACAGTATATAGTTTAAATGTGTATTTTTCACACACGCCTATTGTTTTGCACCAGAACACATTGATTCATCAACTAGGGTCGCATTGATTACCATCATGTTCGTTTTGCATGGATTTTGAAGCGTCAACATTGAGGGTTTGCATCCACTTGCATTTTATGGACTCACAGAGACAGCTTATTTTTCAAAAAATCTCTGTTTGTATTTCACAGAAGAAAGAAAGAAAGCCATACACATATGGGACTAAATGATGAGATAATTATAATTTGTTTTTCCATTTTTGGAAGGAGTATCCAATTTAATATCCAGTGTTGATAACATTACACTTAACCAGCTCTCCTACTCTATTACTGAGTCCCAGAGTATGATAAAAAAGAAAGAAAACAGTTTTTACTGATTATTGTTAGAAAATGTTTTTTTTTTTTTAATTTAACTAATTAAACTGGCTTTTAGTTTAATAACCCTTAAATGTGGTTAATGGACTGTTGGGAGGGTTCCCATTTTATTTTGCATTTGTTAATATAGAGACAAAGCAGGTAAACACACGCTTGAGGACATCACTGAAGTATCTTTAATTTATTTTTCATCTGTTTTCTTAAGCTGAGAGTTTATTATTGCGGAATTTGATTTTGTGTAATAACCAGCACCAAAGAAAACAGCATTTTTCGAAGGAAATCGATCAAGCGCATTTGGGCTGTCAGCAGGATTACAGCCGGACAATGAGATTCATTGCAAATTGCTCTGAACGATTACAATGCCAACTTAAACTGATTCACTCTCCCTATGTTTCTATGATTTGTTGTGCGTGTGAGTGTGCCTATGCACAATGCCTCTCAAACTGCTCATAAACAATAAACCGCGACCTTTGCGAGAGGAGGCGGGCAAATAACGGATAGAATGTGCTAATTCAATTACGCAAGTTGAGTAATTGCCTCGGTCAGTGTTGTGGATTGAGCCTATAGCTCAAACGTCCTTGGGATAAATTAAAAGCCGGGATAATGATAAAGATGGAAGGGGGAGGAGTTCACTGTAGAACAAAACAATGAATCTAGCATTTCTCCTGGAATGAATCACTCTGTTAGCAAATTTAGCTTATTAGCACACACACACACACACTGTGGCTAAGCACGCAATGCCATGCAGGGTGTCGCATTGTGGTCTTCATAAATAGGTGTTGAGTTGGCTGAAGACGGTGCCCTGGAGGCTGAGGTGTCTGCTGGAGCTTAGCTGAGCGTTTCTGTTGTGTTGCTCGGCTAGCGTGATGAATACGCTGCCGTATTCACCTTCTATTCTTCTCCGACTTCAGCGTAACACAATAGAAGGATTTATGAACACGGACAAAAAAAAAAAAAAAACACAAACAAAAAAAACTGCAGAAAGCTTCTGGCTCAAACAAAACGCTTTAAAACCTGCAGCTGCAATCTAGGTTACGGACTGCATCCACCATTTTTAACCACACACACACACACACACAATGTTCTCATTTTCGCTCTCTTTCGCTCTCTCTGCCTGTCTGTCCACCTGATTACTTTAGGCTGTCTGTCTGTTGGACTGAGTCGGATTTGAGTTATTAAAGGCTGCTCTTTCTCCCACAAGCGCGCAGGGGCAACGACACCCGCTAATTAGAATCACCCTCACGCAGGGTTGCTCTTTCTCTGGCCACAAACAGCACTGGCCCCCGTTCTGCTGTGGAGTGTGCCGGTCTTTGGCATCGAATGGTGTGCTGTTGTGTTTCTGGATGCCAAACAGAGTAAAGACATCATATGCCCACTTACAATTTGGACCGTTTATGTCGAAAGAGAGGAGGAGGAGCTTTTGACGTGTGGTGTGTGTGAGTGTGTGCATGTGTTTGTGCATGTGTCTGTGAACATGTGTTTGGCAAAAGATGAAGACAGTGATGTAAATACAAGCAGAAGTGATTGCATGCTCTGGGGATCGTGTTCCAGTTTGATCCTGCACTGCTAGTGTCTGCTTGACAGGCGCATTGCTGCCATCTAGATGACATGTTTGGAATAGTGCTATACCAATTTTGGGAAATTTGAAGTATGTAAAGTAGACATGGGATACTGTGTAGATAAAATACAGATGACGCACTACATTTGCCACAATGCACACTGTGCATATCCCCAAAAGCACACTGCACAGCCTCTCAATGTAATGTGCTCAACTTGACCTTCTATCTCCCATGTGACAAATGAGCCATTAATAATTAAAGTTTTCTCATTACTTGTCTAGATTTCTGAAAATCTCTGGGATTTAAGTACATTTTTACACAAAATTTAATGAAAATTTAGTTTGAATTGTTAATTGTGGAATAAGTGTGTGTAAAATAGTATGTAGTATACAGTGTATACTGTTAAGTAGTATTCTAGTATTACATTCTGAATGGAGCCACATTGCAGCAATCTTTTTCCCCCAATATTTGTGCATTGTTTTCCATAAAAAAAAATATTTAAAAAAAAATATATATATATACATTTTCTTAATTTTATAAGATTTTCTTAATATATATAAGAGCTTTTTTTTTACTACACTGGTCATTTTTTTCTTCAAAAATAAAACGAAACAATCGTGAGATTTAATGAGGAAACTGTGAGTAAGATTTTTGAAGTGCAGAATTTCATCAAAAAAAATAATTCTCCATCGTTCCAGAACAATAGAGCTTGATGATGCTTCCTTAAGTATGGATAATTAAAAGATTAATTAGTCAAGTTTAATTATGGATACAAAAAATATGCACATACAAATACACTCCAAAACCGGCAATTGCCACCTGGCAAGAAAATGTATATTTAATTTCTTATTAATGTGTTATTCCAAGAACACAAACTTTTCACTTATGAATGATCTTGGCTTTAAAATGATGAGTCTACAAGGCTGTGGCACTCGCTGTAACTGCCGTGACCCTACATAGAATTGTCTCGCAAGCTCAAGAGCCCATTTGAGGGATGAAATTGAATTTGCCTCTATGATTAGAAATGTCAGAGTGATGAAATGGCGTATAACTGCCGGAGGTTAAACATGGGAGACATCATTAAAGAAACAGAAGCCAACTTATTCTTCATTAATGGAGACAGAAAAAGAGAGGGAGCAATGAAAAGAGAGACAGAGTTAGAGGAAAAGGATTTCTGCGTATGCTTTGCCATGTTTGAGAGGCTGCTGGGCTAATTTGACATTTGAACATTTACTGCACCTCATTACAACTGCTCACAGCCTATTAATCTGCCGACTGGATAGATGGACCACACATTCCTCACTGTCATTCCACTATCTCTCACTCACTCAAAAACACTTTTACAAAAGTAGGACTTTGTCCTGAATCAGCATCTTTTGTTGTTCCTGGGGGAATATTTCGATTAGCCAGTCACAGCCCTTAACTCCGCCCCTTTTAAATTAGAGGGCGATGATTTGTTTGCATGTTGTTCCAAGAACCACAAAGGATGTAAAGCCACTAACCGATTCTACGTGTTTAAATCTCATTAAAGCAGCACTAAGTAGGAATTCCGTTTTTGTCAAACAGCGACCCCTAGAGTCGCTGTGGAGTACTTGTACTGTCGTGAATAGCACTCACGCAGAGATGGCTCACACTCACGGCCGGATCCCCTCCCCCTGTACACCGGCGGTACCTGTTCAGTAGGATGGACGCTGTAACGAGTGGAAATAAGGTATGGCCCCTTTAAGAGCTGCGCGCGCCCAACACCACATGTATACGGCGCCGGGTTATTTCTGTTTGATGCTCATTTTAGCAGAATTTTATCAGATCTGTTTTTTGCCGTAAAGCAATTCGTTACCTCGCGAGACCTGATATCACACGATACTTCCTAACACTGAGGCCCAAAGTTGCAAGGGTGGTTTTGCGGCTCACCGGCACCAGGGGGGTGCGAGACGACCACCATTCAACACGAAATCAGTAATATAAACATCACAATGACTCCAAAGCTGTTCGGTTAAGGTAAAAAAGTTACTTAGTTCACCTTTAATAGATTCCCTATACACTTAACAACACTAAAAAGCACAGAAACTTTTAAAATCATTAATAGCACACACACACAAAAAAAAAAAATCAAAAACCTGAAAGAGCCACACTGATATGGGTGCATCCGAAATAGAATATTTTTAAATGTTCCTGTTTCACTATGAAATCAACATAAAGCACTTGTCAAATGGGTATTTTTAAGGGTTGAGACCCTATTACATTCAACCACTTCTTTTATTCGTTCAACCAATCACAGAATTTTGGGCAACAAAACAAAAACATAATCATCTGCACAAAAGGACGCAAAAAAGTGAACTTGACTGTGCTAGTCAGATGCATAATTCCCGTTAACACGAGCAACTGAAGCACAAAGAACATGCCATTACAAAAGTGTTCACATTATAATGTTATGTATGTGAAAGTTTGGCGCTGCAAAACTTGCACTTTCTGAGAAACACTGTTGATATCTGAAATCAACCCAAACAAACACACCCCTTCCTTCATGGCTCCGCCCCCAAAAATGAACGAACAAGCAATGCCAACGAACCCTACCCAGAAACTGTTTATCTTTATTCGTGTGATGCTACAACCAGCTGAAGGAAAGTGTAAAGGGGTCACTCAC